GTTGGGAGATCCATCCTACTTATTCGCGTGGATGAAATGAGATCATGACCACTTCCAGAATCCAATATGAATCTCTTGTCTCTCTCCTCAACAGGAACAGTGATACACATTGTGTTGCCCCTTTTACCATATCGACCTTCAATATGCTGAACATAGTTCTCCACAAAGACTTCCCTGGACACCTCACCGTCCTCGATGTCGATTCTGATCAGGATGTCCATGCTAGGGCCGACGATGACCAGGACTTCATCAATGTCACTGTACTCGCCCTTCTCATCGATCAGAATAGCCATTGCTTTCCCTCGGCTCGACGCTAACCTGCATGAATAAGACCATTGTTCATCTTTCCTTATCTGATCAGTGGGCTTACCAACTTTACCATGACCTTTGGAGATTGTTTGGGACTTCCGGCTGCACTTCACGAAGTCCTTCTTTATGTAAGTTTGAACATGAGTCTTGGACTCATCAAATCTAACCTTCTTCTTGACCACGTTCGATGCAACCTTGTGGAACGTCCCTTCATCATCACTCCAATCATGGACAAGTGCAGGAGTAGCCTTTGAGCTTGATGCTTCGGTGTTCGGAGCAGTGTTGAATAGATCAGGATCGTGGCGTTTGTTGCATTTGTCTCCGTAACGGCACTTGCCCTTAGCCCAGTGCCAGCACGGTTCATCAACCTTCTTGGTCTTGTTCGCCGGAGATTGACTTCTTGGAGTTCCTGGCTTCCGACCATTGCCTTTTGCGTTCTTGTTCGCATCAAACACCTTTTGGTCGTGACTATATTCGCAGTCTTTGCCTTTTCTGCATGCATTCTTGATGAAGTGGAAATGGCATGGGATTTTCTTCTTGGATCTAGGACTGGTACTTCGGCTGTTTGCTCGATCCTTTCCTTTCCCTTGACCTTTCCCTTTTCCTTTTGCATGCTGTTTCGGCTGAGGTGATGGTAGAACTGGAGCTGCATCGGCCTTGGCCTTCGCCTTAGGTGCTGCCTCCTCCTTGGGAGTAGCTTTAGGCTTCGCTTTCGGATTGGCATCCGGTGCAGCAGCAGTTGGATTTGGGGCAGGAGCTGTAGGTTTGCCGCCACCTGCAAAGTCTCTTGCATACTTCTCCCTAGCGGCCACATGCTTGTCCTCTCTGATTCTGGAGATGTGCCTTTCGATGACGTCCAACAGATAGCGATAGCTTCGTCTTTGGTCTCCTTCAATCCATGACTCGTACTGCTTGATGTCAAACATCATAAGACTCGAATTTCGAATCTTCTTGTATAGAGCATCACGAAGCCAATCATCAGGAGGTACATCATCCGGCATCATGTTTGATACCATCTCCATCCATTTCTCGTAGAACACTTCCAGGTTTGAGTCACCGAGATATTGCATCGATACGATGTGCTCCATGGTGAAGGCTGTCTCTCGTTGACCTGGGGTTCTGAAGTGCTCCAGGATCATAGCCAAGATTTCCCGTCCCATGACATAGGTTCCTCTTCGACTATGACTTTGTGTTCTCAATCTCAATTTGATCGCTACATGACGAGCAACATCGCCGGCTTGGGCTATCACGTTTGACAATGCAATTGACAACTTGGCGTCGATGGACTGATACCGTTGCCCTCCACTGTCATTTAATAGCTCGATGTCAGGATTTGGTCGAATAGCCGGCTGTAGCCATGCTTCCCATGCGGCTTTGTCCCCATCATTTGCAGAAAGAACAACACTCTTGATGAGATCTGATTGCCAGACCCCAAGATTCTGTTGCTTCGGCCATGGGCTAACATAGACTTTGTCAGCCTCCCGTCTTGACATTCTCGGCACTTCTTCTGCAGTGTAAGCCGCTGTGGAGACATCATCTGCTGAATCGCGTTGTGATCCTCGAACTGAAGGCAAACCTGGAGGTTCGGGAGGTGGTCCTGGACCGTTAGGCCCGAAAGGGTCAGGAGGTCCATCAGGGTCAGGCGGACCGCCCCATCCACTCGGTGGCTTGTAATAGTCCCTTTCAGTTCCATCGGCGATCTTGTTGTCAACCTCTTTCAGCAGATCAGTGATTCTTTTGTTTGATTGAGAAGGTTGTTGTTGAGAAGGTACAGCATGTCCACGATAGGAATGAGCCATATTTGTCTCATAGGTCAACTCCTTGTCGATCTGCGAAACCCAAGATTTCAGAATAGCGTTTTCAGAGTTAGCCTCACTCACGTCATTCTCCAGTTTGTCGATGACTAGTCTTGACGCGAGGTCGTAGTTGGGAATGCCCGCCGAATAGGGAAGTGTGTCAGGGCTGACCCTAGATATAGATGTTTCAGAATCCTTGAGACTCTTTCTCAGTTCATCTAAGTGACGTTTCATGTCAACAATCTCAGAATTCTTGATACCGATCTTTTCATCCCTATCCTGGATTTCCCCCATGAACATGCATGATCTCTCATATTGTTGAACACCACTAGCCAACTTCATTTTGCGCTCACTCTCTAGTTCAGATCTTAGAGTTCGGACCTCGGCATTGGTGAGGGACGACGCCCCTACATCCGCAACTTCAGCCAATCTCTCTTTTAACAGCATGTTCTCTTGTAAACATTCATGAACTTCATGATCTAGATCCTGAACCCTGATTTGAGCGATTTTGGCTTGATTACGTAGATCTTCAACAAGCATCTCATCGGGGCCACGACCGTCGGTCGTAGTACCCTGAGTCAACGATCTTCGCAACTTCGTGTTCTGCAACTTGATCTCATCCTTTAGTTCGCAATTCATCTCCTGCTCGTTGGTATAGAGCTCTTCATAGTGCTCTGCCCTTGCGATCGAGTTTGCACTAGCCTGTGATTCAAGCCTCAGGTGTGATATTGCTTCGGCCTCTTGATTCCTGTATGATGCAATTCTTCTGACGGTATCATGTTCAGTGTTTCGATGCTTCAGATCACTTTCCAATTTGGCCTGATTTGCCTCGAAAACCTTCTTCCTAGATTCTCTAGTGATCTCGTCGATACTGCTTTCATACAGCTCGGCCTGTTTACGAGACTGAACTAAAGCTTCACTCAATAGCTGATTCCGTTCAGATAATTCATGAACTGCAATTGATTGTTGTTGGCTAATCACTTCGAGTTGATTGCTAGAGAAGGATGCCATTTCGGATCGATTACGATATTCCATGATTGAGTTCTGGAAATCTGTCTGCATTTCTTGACCTTCATTGTATAGTCGATTGGCAATATCGGTGGTTAAGACATTGGTTTGATGAAGTTGTTGCAGTCTTGCCTCCGTATTACCCAGTAGTCCTTGAAGGTGATGTACTTCATCCTTGTACTCCTCCTGGATCTCCATACCACGTTGATGGATCCGTCGTGCACCATGTTCCATTAGGGCACCTCGGCGTTCAAGGTCTTGGATGCGTATTGTTGCACCTTCGTCTTCCTGAGATGCTACCATTAGTTCTGCTTGATATTCCGCAACCTCATTTGCGGAACATGACAATCTATGATTGAGTGCATTGACCTCATCAAATACATTTTGGTTGTGTTCCTGAAGATACTCAGTGAATCTGATCTCGATGTCATGAATCAGTTGATCTCTAGATGCAGCGTATGCTTCCATGTGGTTCAACTGATTGCCCGTAGTTCTTCTATCATGGCAATAGGTTCACTAGCCACAGAAGTATCCGTTGATCTCCTCTTAACACGACTATCCCCGGTCCTCTCACCAATTCGGTCGGTTACGGCCCTGGTGGATCTGTCCCTTGGAGTAGTTCGTCCTCGAGATGGTCGATGCCCTTGGCGGACAACATCACTTCGAGCACTGTTTCGAGAAGATCTTGGTGTACTTTGGGTGGATATTCTTCGTCTGTTTGACGTAACTTGCCATCCGGACTGTGTAGTTCCGGTAGAGCGTATCCCACCACTGTCTGCCGTGTCGCCAGGGGAAGATTGGTTGACCTCCTCGACCGGCATAGCAGTGTTCTCATTGAAGGTAAACTGCGTGGTGCGCGAATCTCCGCTGCCGCCTTGCATCTTTGCGATGATGAGCTGATTGGTCCTTTGCGTCCTCAATCAATTGCTCAGAAGGCCCGGCTACCAGCACGCAGGTACCACTCTCCCGACGGGAGAAGTGAGCCCTACGGCTGATAACCTGTGAACAATTTGATCCTTGTCCTGGATGTTATCTCAGTCTGGTAGTACCCTTGTTACTGGTAGCCGATGATTGCCATGCGGAGTCACGCGACGCATCCCTTTTCTCCATACGCTTGAGCCAATGTTTGGCGGTCACAGCATGTTGTTTTAACAGTGCATGCTGTACATGTTGTGTCATCTCGTTCCCTTTAACATATATATATACATATATACAAATACAAATCAAATACATATATATATATATATGTGATTAAGATGAATAGGTTGATTCGGGATAACTACTCAAATCTACCTTAGCTTATTATAGTTTACTTTAATGGGGACTGTTATTGCAATGGGACTGTATTGGGTGCATTGTAGAAATTCAGTAACCTGTATGGTTCCGTAATTTGGGATAGTTAGCCCTATTAATGATTCCAGTGAGATCGCAGTGAAGTCATGATCAAATCAATCAAGACTATCCAGATATGCAGCTTAACCCTTAAAAACAAGTTGAAAAATACTGGTATATCAATGTGGATATATTCATGGGATGCAGCCAACAAAAAGACATGTGGGGAACTAGTAGTAAGCAAACAATAAAAAATAATAAAACTAAAGCATCCCCAGTAACCTATATACATGGATCCGAACTTGGGCCATGCTTGGGCCATAAGTTCCATGCTTGGGCCGGGGGTAAATCATGGGGAGACAAGAAGTGATCCATAGCCCATTGGTGAAAAAAGATCCGGGGTTGATATTGCACTACAAACAACAGGAACTTGGATCAGGTTGCATCTCGTGAAAACCATTGAGGCAAAAACGCGGACTGGCATCTTGACCACTGACCACCCGAAAAAGCGAAGGCGCCAACCATCCGAAAAGGAGGATTCTGCAGGCGAGGGGCGTTGACAGCTCCTTGACACATCTTGTTGACAGTCTTCTCCTGATTCGCAGATGGGGTCAATACCCTTGTTTGGCCTAGGTCAAAAGATGTGTAATTTACTATTGTAAGATTTACTAGTATCCCATAAACCCGGTTAATAAAACATTGTTTAATATTTGGGGATACTAATCCATCTATTTACTGTACCTGCTATTGTGATATTTACTAGCCAATTTTTAGGGCGGTCAAAATGAAAGGCCCTCATTAGGAAAAAAACTCACACCGCTCAACAACTTTATCGTCTTAAGTGGGTGAATCCCTGAATACTCAGATGGATCATTTTTCGGACCCTTGGTGAAAGGTTGATTCGATGGGTGGATACCTATGACCTATGACCAGCAGCTTGGTGATTGAAAATCGGAATAGGGATCCGGGTCGACCCATCGTGCCACAATGCACCCTGAACGTAGATCATGCCCCCCAACCATGGATCTCCCTAGCTGAGTTTACTGGTGAAATGCATCGAATCTCTTCTGGGGCGCCCATTTTTCGTTGACGATTTTCAGGGGATGGATTCATATGCACTATATTTAAGGTTGTCATAGAGCTAACGATACTGAACACCATTCTTGCAAGTTATATCCAACTATTCCTGCTCAATCCATCAATAAACAATCCCCATCTTAGGAATGGCTTGCGGCATTGGCTCAATCCCCCGGAGGCCTTGCGGCATTCAAAAAGATGAGTCGAATGTCAGGCAATGTGGCTTCAAATGGAGATTTCCTAAGTCATGGGTGTACCCCTAGTTATCATCCATTTGAATAGGATGTTCCAGAAAAAAAACAACCATGACTTTGGATACCCCCATGACTATGGAAGCCCACATATCACCATTTTCCACCATGATTCACCATTATTAAGGCTTATTAACCACTACTAAACCAACCAGCTATTGGGGATGTCCCATGTGTGGAAAACCTCTATGATCATCGTGGAGACAGGTCGCTTCGCCTAGCTTCGCCTAGCTTCGCCTCGAGCCGCAGAGCCAGGTCGCAAAGGAGCGGCAGTCGCGTTTGCTCAAAAAAAATGGCAGCTGCGAGGCCGACGTCAGAGAAATGTGGAGATTAATGTTTGGTGAATATGGGATGGAATTGCAATATATCTACAATATTAAGACATATTAAGACATGTTACAGATCTAATGTTAGATATTCAATATGGGGATAACTATGCCAAATGATTCATATGTGGCATCTCAAGGATAAATATGGGATAACTATACTATTGAATAGCATGGGGGATGGAGAAACTGGGGATATCATGGGAATATACTGGGATAATATTGAATAGTATAATATATATGGAATAATGTGGATATGGGTTACTGGAAGGTTCCATTGTCAATTGTTTCCGCAGCTTTCTGCCTTTTTCTGTTGTCTTCCTTATGAATTCAGGGTCTAAATTCTCCTGCAACAGGAGTCTTGTTGTTTTGCTGGGTAATATTACGTTCCTCCAGTTTCTAAAAAAAACTCACTGACCTGCTCAGCCAGGGTTCAAAAAGTGTTTTTTTCTGGTGGACAATTGGCAATAAAAAGTTAACCCACCAATCCAAGAATTCAAACGGGCAAACATATATTTCAATTACACCCCGCAAATTACTCGCAAAGCCATAGCTTCGGTGCAGCATCGATTCATTGAATGCAACGAATGCATCGATGAAATCCCTCAGAATAATTCATGTTTTTGTCCATCAATTGACCAGAAAAATCCCTGAGATGTTTGCATTTTACCCATTCATGATGGCTATTCTGCAGTTATTACCTCAGAAAAGTCCATAATTTCTATGGTGACATGCACAGATGGATGGTCAAATTTCAAATCTGCTGGGTGATTTCGACCATTTGTCATATATATATATATACATATATATATATATATATACATATATATATATACATATTATACATGTACATATATATATATATACATATCATACATGTACATATATATATATATACATATATTATATATATATATATTTGGTATGCTCAACCATAGAAAGCATATACATAGTCAAAAACCACCAAAAACTACTTCTGAAGCAACTGATCTAAGTGCCACCACCTTGTAGTTTTTAGCGTTTATTCACCATTATTACTGTACCCTCTGATAATCAAACATGACGATGGAAATTGAAATCACCATTTATAGATCCTTTTCGCAGCTATAAACCTCCATGGCTAGTTCGGGAATGTTCGATTGCGATGTTTGGATTGCCCTCTGGTAAACTAACATAGCTATGGAAAACCACCATTTTCAATGGGTAAATCCACTATAAAATGGCAATTTTCCATAGCTATGTTAGTTTACCAGAGGGTATTCCATTGATTATTCCATTACATAGCAATCCAAAGGGTTTATCCATTGATTATCCATTAAATTACCAAAGGGTCAACCATGAATTATCCATTGATTATTCCATTACATATTCCAGCATTGTGGGTTAAAGTCCTCATGAGTAATCTGTAAAGATGATTATATTTGAAATATGTTCGTATTATTATTATTTTTTTTATTATTATTATTTATTTTTCATATATGAATATAATATAATATCATAATATATCATATGTATTACTAAATTGAACCACTATGATCATAGATTCTGGTCTTCTCACGGAATTCCCAGATTCACCAGCGCTGAAAGTCCACGAGGCCCCACTGACTGAGCAAAGTCCGACGCCCAAGCAGGGCATACCACAGAGCCACGGACTCCGGCTGGAGCTCCTGGGGAATTGGATGGTGGATTTTATTGGGATTTAATTCACCATTTAATGGTGACCTGATGTGATTTCATAGTGATTTAATATGATTTCATAGTGATTTGTCATAGTGACTTGGTGGGATTTCCTAGTGATTTTTCATCGTGATTTCATGGATTGCCATCGGAAAAATGGCTGATTTCAAAATCCTTTGATGGCAATGGTAATCCCTTTTCATCGTGTGCAGTGTGCAGTGCTGATTTCAAAGGATTGCCATCGGATGCTCCCCCCACGTCACGTCTGAAGTGTTTTTTTAGTCGGAGTCGGGTCTCGCGAGTCTCCGACACATTTTCTGGGGGCTATGTAAGCCATGGCCATAGAAATCCTTGATTTACCCATGAAAAAATGGTGATTCTCCATAGTTTTCCCATTAAAAATGGTGGATCTGTCCATAAAAAATGGTGATTTTCACATATGTTCCATATAAATACTGGTTATCCCAAAGAAATACTATGGCGTACTTAGGCGTACTTAGTAACTGGATCAGTTTAATTGGGATTATGACGCCATAGTTACTCTATAACCAGTTACCCAGTTGCGATTCGTGAGATGATCCCGGAAGATCCGTCAAAATCCTCCAGTTGGTGGTTAGACCCTTCGGCGAATTCGACCGCTTTCTGGCAGGTTTTTTCCCACCAGCGTTGCTGATAGGTTTTTGGTGGTTTAACTAATAGGATTTATGAAGTTAACTAATAGGATTTATAAATAAGTTTCTACAAGTTAACTAATAGGATTTATGAAGCAACTTGTTGGGGGCCCAGCTTGTATTAGTGGTTGTTGATTGATACGATTCATAGGCGCCAGGATCACTTGCACATTGGCTTTTGGATCACTTGAACATTGAGGATCACAACTGAACATGTGTAGCTTCACTTGGACATGGGTTTCTGGTGTTTCTGGATCACTTGAACATGCAGTGGATGGAAGAAATCCTGCACCACCTTCGATGAAACTCTATAAATAATGGGATAAGCCATCTATGAAGTGGTGCAGGATTTCGCAACCATCCACCGTAGGACACGACTGGGAGACATGGGCACCACTCACACCTTTAGGCTTTGATCATCCCTGTGGCCCACGGGCCCAGAGCGAGCCAAAAACCCACGCACAAACGAGCCAAACGCATGTTAGCGAACCCCCGCCCCCATTCATATCCATTCATATAGAACTCGATTACGATATGTATGTATATATATATATATATATATGTATTACATACTATTATTATCATTGTTGTCTGGGTGGTGGTTCCTGAAAAGAAACAACATGTTTGTCATTGAGGATATTTTATGTTGGGAGCATCATCCCCGTTCTCTGGTTGAAAATAAGAAACCATTGAAACCACCCAGCACGCAGATTGCGGACCTTACCCCATCCATCAATGGGGATGGAAGACCATCCACCAAGGAGGCTGCGGAAATTCATCTGTTCCACAACATTCAATTGATTGATTTAAGATGATTTAAGGACGTGGCTTGACCAGCAAGATAATTACCAGCAAAATTGGTTCATATATGTGTGTATATATATATACACACCAGTTAACGTTGTATTGGGATTTATTGGGAGATGTTGGGTGTCTATACACGTTCCGTCCAACCGAGCGAGATAAGAAGAAACTAGAAGAAACGAGGTGACCGTAAACAGAGGCTGAGTTGACCAGCAATGGATGTTTTAGCTGCTTCTATACAGCTGGGAAACCAATGGAAACCAATCATCAGACACAAAAATCAGTTTCTCAACAAAAGCGCCATACATCCAACTTGAGACCGGCACCAAGAGAATCAACTGGCATCATTTCCACATGCTACTTGGAGCTGCATCCCACCTAGTAAATGGGTTACCCTCTGGTAAACTAACGTAACTATGGAAAATCACCATTTTTAATGGGTAAATCCACTATAAATGGCCATTTTCAATAGCTATGTTAGTTTACCAGAGGGTAGTTATACCGTTATACCCTCAGGCATGGAAGATCCCCATTGATTCCCCAATGGCTTGATATCAGGAGCCGTTCCTCCATTGCTTGCTGTCGCAGTAGCACTCGCGGAAGATGTTCCAGTACCTGGTGAGTCCATGGTGAAACATGGCTACCCGCTGGTCAATGGCCATTTCAGGAACCGATTGATTGGAGGTACCTACCATATATAAGGCCTATACAAGGCGTATTTTTCAGGCCTATGTAAGGGAATATCCCCACAAAATGTGGCCTTATATGGTACAGTACCTCCATTTCAGGATCCTGAAATTCCCAGTGATTCCTTTCTTATAGTCAAAAAAATGAACTATTCCCATTTAGTGAACATATTAATAAATCTATTTATGAATATCCCCATTAATGTATGATGGTTAGACCTATTTCCAAATGATTTATAGGTTTATACAATATTCTTTGCTTGGGAACTTATAGCCATAAATACACCATGCAATTTCCCTGTATGTTCATATATATATATATAAGTTTTCATTTACCAGAAATAAAGCTATTTTGGGACAATTCCCCTTACTAACCATCATTCCAGTGACGTCGCAGTGAGGTATAGTGAGGTCGTTAGCATCCAATGTAGAACCACATTAATACTAACCATATAACCGTATGATACCAGTCTATCCATCTATCATGGTCATACACCATTAAACCAATATATAACCATGTATAGATATATAACAGTATATAACCACATTAAAATATTACCAACAACCTATCAAAACATAATACCCATATTACCCATATTATAACCGACCATACATATATATATATATAACCATATATTTAACTAACCATAAATAACCATAGATACCCATATTATAACCATATTATGTCCATATTATAGCCATATAAAACCATACTATATAGAAATATGGTTGTTTATGGATCATACAAGCATATAATCATATAATATTTCACTAACCTGAATCTTGCGGCCATTTGGGGATGATTTCCCTTATTAACCATGATTCCAGGGTTCGGTCACAGTGAGGTCACTATAAATTACCCATATAATATATATATATATATATATATACATACTGGTTGGTGGTTTCAACTCCTCTGAAAAATATTAGTCAGTTGGGATGATTATTCCCAATACATGGAAAAAATGTTCAAAACCAACCAGCATATAATAACCTATACTGGTTGGCGGTTTCAACCCCTCCTGGAAAATATTAGTCAGTTGGGATGATTATTCCCAATATATGGAAAAATAAAAAATGTTCCAAACCACCAAGCAATGTATGTATATATATATATGATAAATGGTGATTTTCCATAGTTATGTTAGTT